TGATCTACCTTAGTGTTGCTAGTGCCGTGCTCCACTGTTCCCATTTGCATTCATATACATTTTAACCTGAAATCTTGATATATAAAAAAGGATACAACAGAATATGTGGAAAAAAATCAACATGTTGAAACATGAGCATGAGTATTTTTTAATTAACTGGTTGCAAAGTCCAAGAGTGATTCAAAAATTATGCACATGTAATTGCATTCTGTAAATGAGTAATCATAAAACTACACAGAGTGCCACAAAATACAGTACAGTAGATAGACAGAGCATCCAGAGTGAATAATATTTTTATTTTATTTCTTTTATTGCAAATAAACTTTATCCGTTTTGCTGTTTGTTACTTTAAATAGCTTTAGGAGTCAGAACTTTTCTAATATTTGCATATTAATTGGCTTTCCAGTAAATATGAAACTGTTTGTACTTGTGCATCTGTGTGTGCGTTTGTGTGTATGTACACCTGCAAGTGTGTTTGAAAGGATCTTGCCAGTGACCTTGTATGTAGGCTGCTGGTGCCAAACAAGGACTATCTGATTAGTTTATCTGTGTCATGCTCTGTACTTGAGACATTAAAGGGCAGGGAATAGATTGAGACAGATAAAGACAAGACAAGAGACAGACAGGAAACATGCACTTGCACTCTGATGATAGATGGGAGATGATATGGGTGGCACTTTTCACAAATATGGTATAATTTGCTTTTAAAATGACCTAGTTGTTTTAAACACCGTATAGCTTTGTTGCTAGAAAAAAAAAGACACAAATTAAACTGTTTAGACATGTTCCACATAATGTCTTAATATAATAATATAACATTTAGTCTAACCCTCTAATGCTGACAGTGCATGTATTCTAGGTTAAGCACCTCCTTTCACTGACGAGAGGCTGGCATATTACATATACGGTGTTTAAAGACATCGGTAAATTTGAAAGTCCCTGGACCTGGTGCCTGTGATTCAACAGCGGAGACTGCGGTTCCTTAATGTGTGTTAATTACTTGTACTTCAACTTGCAGCCCACTTAGTTTAGCTGATGCAGGAAATCTGACATTGTGAGACAGATTTTCCATTGACTGTCCAGCTGATTTGTACTGTATGTTCACACTGCCTGATACATATACATACAGTACATTTAAAGTAAAAATGGGGAGGAAAACAACTTAATTTAATATTAAGAGACATTTTTAGGACTTAAAAGGTGAATACTGCTACTTACTAAATATATTTTTGTGTAATGACCACTAAATGGTATAATTGATCATTGACCCAGTCGGCAAAAATCTTGCATAGCCGTAGTAGTTTCTTGTTGTCTCTTTCTCTCTTTCTTCTCATGTATAGTACTATAAATATTCATCTAATCAATATTTCATGCCATTTATTAAGTAGCCTCTACACATCAGTTCATATATTCTGATCTAATAATACATGAAATTTTTTTATATATTTTAACTTTTTTTTTCATGTAGTTTTATTATATATATTATATAATATTTTCATTTTTAAGACCCAAAAATGCTAAATAGTTTTTAATATTAACATGTTTTCAAGGAACTCATGGTCTGATTTAATCTGATTAAAAAGTTCAGCGAAAAATGCCCTTTCTTTTTTCTTATTTCTCTGTTCTTATGAAATCTTTGTGTGTTGAATTATAAATAGGAGAAAAGCCACAATGTTTTTTTAGAATATGAAACTAGACTCCAACAGACTCACTTAGCACACTTAAGAGTCATACCGAAATCTTTTTTCTGTCACTTCAGTGAATCTGCATCTACAAAAACTTTCATCACTTTTAAAAGAAACAGAGCGATTGTATTTCAGAGACAACCCCTTAAATATTCGCAGAGAGAAACATTCCCACAGTTATTGTTATCCTCAGGAAACAGTCTGAGGTCGCGGATCCACCCTGACTCACTTTTGCTGGGTTTACAGGGGGTCTTTGAAGCACACCACCTGTTAGAAACAGTTCCATCCTTTCCTCTTCTTCACCGTGTTATGTAAGCCCTTACAGATGCAATCAGATCCTGGAAATAAAGGGGCTTTTCTCTCTATGCTTTATCCACTTGTTCTATTTTGGTGGTCCGTCTGCCTTAAACTCCCAATGCATCTTCCCTTTTCTAAAAGTAGCATGTCAGGCACTCAAATTTTCCCTAGCACACTTAGAAAGGTTTAAATTTTGTGTCATAAAAAGCTCTGTGCTATTTTTTGCAATGACGAGAGATGGCCTGATGGTCTATTACCTCTTGAAAGTGAAAGTAACCATTGCTTAGTTTGCACCAGCTCCATTTTTTGGTCTTCCTGTTCTGTGCTGTGCCGGTTTTAATGAGAAACACAATGAAAGGTTGTTATCCAGAATGAACACTTGCACCTTTGAGATTTTCTCAGTTTGTTTTAGCCGTAGTGTAGAGCTCCTCGCCTGAACAGGAAGCCAGACAAACCGTTCATCTCTTTTAACTGTATTATAATTTCCTGTGTTCGCATGTGTGTCTTATATCAGCACTGATGTGTCTGCATCCAGTATTTGTGAAAAGCGTAACACTAAATTCACAGGGTGTTTACTGCCAAACCTGTTGGAACATACTGTGATAGGCCTGAATACAAATCATGTAATTTCCTTTTTGAAGCGTAAGTGTTACAATATAGCGAGGTGCAGATATGAGGGTGGGAGGGTGGAAGTCCCAGGTGAGATTTCCCAAACACAAGATATATGACATGAACGAACAGATAGACAGACAGTTTCATATGCCGCCAATGTGTGTTTTTGGGTAAGTGAGGTGACAGGAAGAGTTTTTGCTTTTTGAAGAAAAACACCAGTATCTTCTTCCAAACCTGTATGATTTTCTTTTCTTGTAAAGCACAAAAAGAAATGTTAAACGGGATGTTTATGCTGCTCTTCTGCATACAATAAAACTGAATGTGGGCTGTAAATCAACAACCTAAAAAAAAACAAAACAAGAAAACACCATTAAAAACCATAAAAATAGTCCACGTGGCTTAAAATCTATTGTGTAATTTCAGAAGACTTGTAAAGTAGTGTATTAGTCATATAAATTACTTTTATAGCACTTTTGTGGTACTTTTTGTCATTTTTGGAGCTTGAAAGCCCCAGGTCACCATTAGATTTCATTGCAAAAGAACAGTGTGAACATTGTTAAAGGGGTCAGTATTTGAAAAATAATGTGTTTTTTGAACATTAAAGCATGTCAACATATTCTGTTACACCAAATACACAAAATAATGATCTTTAAAAAAGCATCATATGACCCCTTTAAAGATTTAGATAACGATCAAATATTTAGATGTATAATTTGTTTTCTTGTTTAGACAGATTTGGAGAGATTTAGCATTACATCACTTGCCCAACAATGGATCCTCTGCAGTGAATGGGTGCCGTCAGGATGAGAGTCCAAACAGCTGATAAAACATCACAATAATCCACAAGTAATGTAGTGTTTTGTGTTTGTAATAAACAAATCCATCATTAAGGCATTTTAACTTTAAACCGTTGCTTCTGGACTTTATGAGTTGTGTGGATTACTTGTGGATTATTGTGATGTTTTTATCAGCTGTTTGGACTCTCATTCTGACGGCACCCATTCACTGTAGAGGAATTAGCGGAGAGCAAATAATGTAATGCAAAAAAAATTCCAATTTATTTCTCATTTCTTTTAAACTTCTGCTTTTGTGTTCCACTGAAGAAAGAAAATCTTAAAGGTTCAACCATTAAAACATATTGATTACATAATGTAGTGCCTTTTTAAATGTGTTTTTCTTGTGGGAAATGCACAGAAAGTCCTTAAAGTGAAGGTTTTCAGGTTCAAAACTGACACATTTGTTCCCAAAAGGCAATACTGACTGGTTCCCCAACAATGCAGATGAATTATAATAAGTTATTTCCCCTTAACGTGCCAGGCTGGTTGCATATAAGGTCAAATGTGTTGGATCAGATCTCTTTGAAAGACTGAATCTAGAAAGACAAGATGAGCATATTTCTCTTTCTTTCAGCAAAATGGTCAGAGTAGCGTGCAGAGATTGACGGGTCCATGCTTGACTCAGTCAGTGCTCTGTATTCATAATGTAATTCAGTTGCCGTGCACACAGCAGAGTTCAGCTAAGCAGGTGTGATTGCAATTGATTTCTGAACACATCTTCCCCAGGCGCTATGAGTTCGAATGCACAAATTACCCATGTGCTCATCATAGATATGGAAATCTGAATACAGCTGAAATTATGCATTCTAAAAAGGCACAGATCTGATGTTTTAGTGTTAATTGGTGATTTTTGACTGTGCTATAATTGTGCATATAATTGTTTGACCAGGTTTGTGTCTGTTTGCATTTAAATGCACACCTGTGCATGACCTGATCGGGAAGTCTGGCGTTGATGTGTTGAATTTAATGCTATGAAGAGTTGCTCATTAGCGTGAACACTCTTGGTGATAACAGAGCATGCATGATAAATTTCATTCTTTTTCCGTGTCAGAGGCTGATAAATGAATATTGATGCACACTGACCTCTGCTGGTACTAATGTTGAGGTGCTGTTTTTTCAAAACTAAAGATGAAACATTTACAAACACATTTCATTTATAATACTTGATGGGTATTTTATAATGAAAATAAATAGGCCTATTCATATTTAAATGCATATAAATGACTGTGTTACTGACGTATCACATTTTATGTTCTGTTATATATAGAGAACATTAATTTTCACATGGTTTAATTCTGATTGATAATGTTGAAATTTGGTGGTCAGATAATTTTGTATAAAGACAGCTAAACGGCATAATTGATTATTGACCCAGTCGGTGAATATTTTGCATATCTGTGGTAGTTTCATGTTGTCTCTTTCATTTCATGTAATATATTTTCCGCTCTAATCAATATTTCATGTCCATTTATTTAGCAAGTAGCAGTGTAGTTAACAATAATAACTGTCTGATTATATACAATCCCTTACTTAACAAATAATCATGATTTTTCTTATATTTTTCTCTAAGGTTATGGACACACTGTCCAAACTCTCTCATACACACATTGCACAGCAGACTGGAATAAGGTATTTGAAAAAGAAGAAATTAATAATTATAAGTATTTTAAGAGCGCAGGGGATGAAAATTTTATCTCTCTCTCTTTCTATTCTAGGCCGTTTCCCACAGAAGAGAGTGTTGAGGATGAAGACATTTATAACCATCTAGAGGATCTGATAGAGTGAGTCATTTTTCTGCTTACAGTGTTTCTCTTCCTCCTGATATTTTAACCTTTAGCTCACTGCAATCTCTCTGTTAGATATAGGAGCCTCAGGCTGGAGCACATAGGAGTGCTTAGGTTGATGTTAACATGATGAGTCATGAGATAATGTGTGCCACACACATACTGTCCTACGTATAGATGCACTCACTTACATATGTGTTAAAAACAGAGGTGTAAAGAGTACCTAAAAACCATGCTTGAGTAAAAGTACAGATACCTTACAGTGAAAATTACTCCACTACACATTACAAGCCACCAATTCCAAAACAACTTGAGTAAAAGTCTTAGAGTATCTGATTTTAACAGTACTTAAGTATTTTACTTATACTAAATATAGGCTCAAAGATGCACTAGTCAAAGAGACATGCCAGTGAAAAACTGTAATGTTGTAGAGAAGCTGCGGAAAACAGGCAGAGGCAAGGATCTATGTGCCGATATTTAATGGAAAAACTAGAACAAACAATAAGCCAAAAACCGAAGGGAACAAAGAACAGAATGACCGGCAAACAGACAACCATTACATTCAACAACTCACAAGGAACTAAAGAAAAACTAGGGCTATATATACACAAGGGGGCTAACAAGCTTAACAAGATAACAAGACACACCTGGGGAGACAAATCAATGGGAACCAATGAACAAACGGACTACAAATTGACTACAAACACCACTGGAGACAGGAAGTGACATAAAAGTCCAGGGCAAGGCACAGAGAGCATGAAACAAAAACAAGAAAGAGTTGATTTGTGAAGAGGGCAATCACGTTTATTTTCTAAAACTAAAATAAAACTGAACACCTCAAAATTACAAAACAAACAAAAAAAAACCCAATATCTTTCAAAAAGGTCTCTTCAGTAGGCTATAATGGATAAATCAAATAATGTTAAGTAAAATTAAAAAGCCGAAGCCTTCTTGCACTGGCTGTGCTAGTTTTGGCCTCATTGCCAGCTGCAGTCATGTCCTCATCTCATATATAAAACACCTGTGATTCACAAATACTTGCTAAGGAACTCGCATTCACATAAAGTAGCCTTGTTGACAAGTTTAGGTGAGTAAGGGTGAAACGCACAAGATGCAGTACTTTCAGTGACCTGTAGTAGGCTTTTGTACTCATGTCTTTTGTAGCAGAAATAAACCGCTGCAGAAAAAGCTAGGTCCATGCAAAATGTAATGTGTAACTGCAACACTCATTTCAAATGTAGTGGAGTAAAGAGTACAGATACTCATTCAAAAATGTAGTGAAGTAAAGAGTAAAAGTTGCTAATATCTTTGATACTCATTACAACTACAAAGTATCCAAAAAGATACTCAAGTACAGTAACTAATTACATTTACTCCAATACTTTACACCTCTGGTTAAAAATACTTCTTTGTTAACCCATAAACAAATGTTTTTATTTTATTATATACTGTATATTTACATGTCAGAAAGTGACACTCTTAAGTTGAATTAAACCCTGTCATAAAATTTGTATAAAAATATATTCAAATGTATTAATTTACGCTGCCATTCAAAAGTTTGGGGTCAGTAAGATTAATTAATAATTTATCAATAATTTAATAATTTAAGATTAATAATTTATCAACAAGCACATGTTAAAGTTACCAAAAGTGACACAAAAGGCTTTTACACTGGTACAAAAAAAAAATCTATTTCAAATAAATGCTGTTATATTAAACATTCTGCTCATAAACAAAACCTGAAAAAAACTGTATCATGGTTTCCACAAAATTATTAAACAGCACTGTTTTCAAAATTGACAATGATGAGAAATTATCACCAGATCAGCATATTAAAATGATTTCTGAAGGATCATGTGACACTGAAGACTGGAGAAATGATGAACAATCAGCTGTGCAATCACAGGAATAAATTCTATTTAAATAGAAAACAGTTATTTAAAATTTTACAATAGTGCTGTTTTACTGTATTTTGCTCAAATAAATGCAGCCTTGGTGAGTCTTCTTTCAAAAACATTGCAAATAGCAACGCTAAATGTTTGAGCAGCAGTGTATTAAATTGTATTAATTTATAGTGAGATGATGCATTAAAATTGATTAAAACTTTAAAAACAGTGTTAATATGATAGAATGTTTACAATGTTGTACAAAATGCTTAAAAATCACCTCATAAAACTTGAAAAAGCAACTGTTTCATATAA